ACATCTTGTCCTTGGTTTTTCTTTGTTCAGAGGGTCTTTATTACTGATTTAATTTCCATCTTGGTTATTGGTCTGTTTAGGTTTTCCATGTCTTCATGGCTCAATTTTAGTAGGTTGTATGTGTCCAGGAATCTATCCATTTCTTCTAGGTTTCCTGGATTGTTGGCATACAGCTCTTTGTAGTAATTTCTGATGATTCTTCTTATTTCTGTGGTATCAATTGTTATATTTCACTTTTCACCTCCACTTTATTGATTTATTTCTTTGGGTCTTCTCCCTCTTTATTTTTGGGCTGGCTGAGCCAATGGTGTATCAATTTTGTTTATTTTTTCAAAAAACCAGCTCTTCATTTTGCTGATCTTTTGCATTTTTTAAATTTTCTTTATATCTTCTCTAATTTTAATTATTTCTTTTCTCGTACTAATTTTGGGCTTGATTTGCCGTTGTTTTTCCAGGTCCTTGAGATGGACTAATAGCTTGTTTATTTGGTGCCTTTCCAGTTTCCTGATGTAGGCACCAACTGCTATAAATTTTCCTCTTAACACTGCTTTTACTATATTCCATAAGTTTTGATATGTTGTATTGCAGTCTTCATTCATTTCCAGAAATTTTTTGATTTCTCTTTTGATTTCTTCTGTGATCCACTTTCATTCAGGTGCATGTTGTTCATTCTCCCATCTGCTCTAGAGATTTTTCAGTTGTTGATTTCCAGCTTCATTCCATTGTGGTTAGAGAAGAGGCATGGTATGATTTTGATTTTTTTGAATTTGCTGAGACTTGCTTTATGACCAGCATGTAGTCAATCCTAGAGAAAGTTCCATACACTGGTGAGAAGAATGTGTTATGCAACTCTAGGATGAAAAGTTCTGTATATATCTGCTAGGTCCATTTGAACTATAATGTCAATTAACTCTGCTGTTTCCTTGCTTATTTTCTATCTGGTTGATTTGTTCATTGCTGAAAGTTGGGTATTGAAGTCCCCCATTACTATTTTATTGGAGTCTATGTCTCCCTTTACATCCACTAACAATTTTTTAAAATAGCCGGGTGCCCTGTAATTGGGTGCATATACATTTATAATAGTTACATCTTCCTGTTGACTTGATCCCTTAATCATTACATAGTGCCCTTGTCTCTTTTAACAGTTTTTGTGTGTTAAAGTCTATTTTGTCTGATATTAGGATGGCTACACCAGCTCTGTTTTGGTTTCTGTTAGCATGTAGTATCTTTTTCTATCCTTTCACTTTCAATCTATGAGTATCTTTGTCAGTGAGACATGTTTCTTGTAGGCCACAAATACATGGGTTTTCTTTTTTAATCCATTCAACCAGTCTGTATCTTTTTACTGGAGAGCTGAGCCCATTTACATTCAAGGTGACTACTGATAAGTGACAACTTGGCCCTGCCATTTTCCCATAAATATTCCTATTGTTTACTTTGGATTTCCTTTGTACTTTTACGGGGAGATTTTCTGACTTCACATTCTTTCATAATGATAGCTATCTTTCTGTGTTTCTGTCTATAGCACTTCCTTAAGCATCTTTTGTAAAGATGGATGAGTAGTGACAAATTCTTCAATGTCTGTTTGTTATAGAACGTCCTTATTTCACCTTCATTCAAAAATGAGAGCTTTGCAGGGTACAATTTTTTCTCTTAAGATTTGGACTGCTGGCGCCACGGCTCAATAGGCTAATCCTCCGCCTTGCGGCGCCGGCACACTGGGTTCTAGTCCGGTCGGGGTGCCAGATTCTGTCCCGGTTGCCCCTCTTCCAGGCCAGCTCTCTGCTGTGGCCAGGGAGTGCAGTGGAGGATGGCCCAAGTCCTTGGGCTCTGCACCCCATGGGAGACCAGGATAAGCACCTGGCTCCTGCCATCAGATCAGCGTGGTGTGCTGGCCGCGGCGGCCATTGGAGGATGAACCAACGGCAAAAAGGAAGACCTTTCTCTCTCTCTCTCTCTCTCTCTCTCTCACTGTCCACTCTGCCTGTCAAAAAAAAAAAAAAAAGATTTGAACTATATCTCAACCTTCTTTTCCAGCCTGTAGGGTTTCTGATGAGATGTCAGCCATGAGTCTAATTGGAGATCCTGTAAAAATAATCTGGTGTTTCTCTCCTGCACATTTTAGAATCTCCCTTATATTGTATTGTGGAAAGTTTGATTTTACAATATGTCATGGTGAATATCTTTTCTGGTCATGTATATTAGGAGTTTTGTGTGCTTGCTCTACTTGGATATCCTTTTCTTTCTCCAAATTGGGTAAGTTTTCTGTAATTATTTCGCTAAAAAGGCCTTGTAGTCCATTCTGTCTTTCCACACCTTCAGGAACTCCTAAGACCCATATGTTCAGTTGTTTGATAGTACACAAATGTCCAATAAATTTTTAATTTTTCTAATTTCTTTTTTTTTGGCCTTACTGTAAAAATTTCCAGATTTGTCTTCTAACTTGGATATTCTTTCTTCTGCCTCACTGAATCTGTTGTTAAGGTTTTCCACTGCATTTTTTATTTGATCTATTGAATCTTTCATTTCTAATATTTCATTTTGATTTCTCTTTATAATCTCAATTTCATGGGAAAATTTTTCATTCATGTCATGTATGGATTTCTTTAATTCATGGATTTGCTTTTGAATACATCTAAGTTATCCTATGATCAATTTTTAAAATTACATTTCCAGCATTTCTTCAGTGCCTCCATCTTCATATTCTAATACTGAAGTGTTGCTGTGTTCCTTTGTGGGGGTCATGTTGTCTTCCTTATTCTTATTTCCTGAATTTCTTCGTTTATTTTTAGGCATTTGTGGAGATACTTATTGCCCCCCCCCCATGGCTTTTATCTGTGGCTTAGTGGAGTTCTGCTCTTTCAGTGAATACCCAGATATGTGTCCTGTGGCTAGGGAGCTCTGTTCAGTGCTCCAGGGTGATGGCAGTCTCCAAGGTGACACCAAAGTGGGCATGGCAGCTCTTTTTTTTTTTTTTTAAATCACTGGATCAGCTCTATTGGTGTAGTCTCACACTCACCCCCTCTCCTCCAAGGCAAAAAATGTCTGGGCTCTAGTCCCAGTGGGTACAATATTCATCCAAAATCACACAAAGGATCTGTTTAGTCCTCACTATGGGCACGGTTCCCAAGCAATGCCCCTACCCAGACAATCAATGAACCCTGAGCCTGTGGAGCTGCCCACAGTGACTACCCAGGGACCCAGCCACACCCTACACCCTCCCACACAGCCAAAGTATTTTCATAGTCCCCACCTACAATGTCACAGATGCCCAGCCCCCTGTCAATTCTCCCAGCCAGACTCAGGCCTCTCCCCTCAGCTGGCTGCTCAGTGCTCAGACACAAGCTGGTGTAGCTGTTATGTATGTCCACAACAGTGCTCACCCTCTCTCAGCTAGTTAAGGACGCCATTGTCGGGTGGTCAGGGAGAGAGAAACATGCCCCCTTTTTTCCTCTAGGTTGGCAGGTACACTGTCCCATACAGGGCTCCAAGCCAGACTCACACCAGGCTCTCCCCGCAGCTTTGTTGCCAGTGGCTTGGGCTGCTGCAGTGTGGTCTCACCTCAATCTCCAAAGGTGGTGCTGAGGCTCTCAACTGCTGGGGTCCTGTGTTTTGTCTGTGCTCCTGCTGTGTGTCCACACCCTGCACAAAGATCCACAGCATCCCTCTAACTTGCATGGTGTTTCCACTCTAGCTTTCTCCCTAACTCTTCCCTGAGATTGTACTCTCTCTACTTTTTTGAAACTATCTTCCCTTAGACTAGAGCAGTAAGTCTCGATGGCCATTTTTGATGCTGCCATAGATAACACAACTTATTTGTATTCATATAGTGAACATCTGAGGTTACCAGGAAGACAGTGAGAACATCTGGCCTACTGTAGAAATATGATATTAAACCCAAGTTTATAATGTTTTTCACTTTTCTCTCATAATACTAAGGATGTGTGTTAACAAATAGAAGACATTTTTCCTATGTCAAAGACCTTAGCATCTGTTTATGGCAGAATGAAACATAGGCAAACTAAGGCAGGGCCAGCATTGTGGTACAACAGATTAGGCCTCTCCCTACAATTTCGGTATGCCATATGGGGGTCAGTTGGAGTCCTGGCTGCTCCACTACTGATCCAGCTCCCTGATAATGCACCTGGGAAAGCAGCTGGAGATTGCTCAAGTCCTTGAGCCCCTGAGCCCACGTGGAAGACTTGGATGAAGCTCCAGGTTTCTTCCCAGCTCAGGCCATTGCAGCCATTTGGGGAGAGAACCAGCAGCTGGAAATTCTATGTGTGTGTGTGTGTGTGTGTGTGTGTGCCCCTGTATCTCTTGAGCCCCTGAACCCTCGTGGGAGACTTGGATGAAGTTCCAGGATTCTGCCCAGCTTAGGCTATTGCAGCCATTTGGGGAGTGAACCAGCAGCTAGAAATTCTGTGTGTGTGTGTGTGTGTGTGTGTGCACACCTCTGTCTCTCTAACTGCCTTTCAAATAAATAAATCTATTTTAAAAAGAAAAGAAAAAAATAAGCAAAAACAAACCTGTGACTGGGTATCCACTTATATATACACATACGTGTTATTATTAGAAATGTATATATACTACAGAATCTTTGTTACATTATAATATGTACAATATCTACAACATATAACTATTATACATTATGATACATTATTGTATATATAATGATAAATATATATTTATATGTCATAACGTATTTACTCAGTAAATATATTACATAAATTATATAATACCTAATATGCATTAGTGTATTCATATATGTGTCTACTCCATCACAGGTTTATATTCCACAAGTGCTGAGGGAGTTATAAAAATAGGCAAAGATGAATGGCATTCCTCATAGCCAGGTCATGTGGCCCAATTCCTAGCCTGAGAAAATGTGTGTAACAATACAATAGTCAACTCCTTCATTTAGTTTCTCCATCTTCGCTGATGACCAAAGGAATGGAAGCCAATATTTTAAAATAAAATTCACATCTATTTATTGAGCAATACAGCAAGTTAGGCAAGAATGACAAGGTGTCATTCTCCAAATTAGCCCAATGGTTCCACATAGCCAGCAAATTGCACAACAAAACGTGACTTGGTCCCTCTCCCCAGGAGCACTTCCTGCTTCTGAGTCTGGCTGCCAAGAGCGTTTCCTCTTCCATTTCAACCTCCTGGTAACTGAGCTGATTTCTACCTTGAAATAGAGTACAGTGCAGTATTCTGTCAAATACGGTGCACAGAAAGCAGTAGAAAGATGGATATAGAATTGATTTTACTCCAGGGTGAGCACTAGGCACTGTATAATGAGAGGCCCCTTTAAAAAGATCTCATTGTGAAGATGGATCTCATATTAAAGTGTTTTACCAGATATTTAAAAAAGGAAATAAATGAAAGAGCTCATGGTGGCTTTTTGTTACTGACCCCAACCCCTGCCCCAGGACCTCCAGGAAAGTCAGATATAGAGGGGGCTATATTTAAAAAGGCCCTCTGCCCCTTGCTCATCCATCCTTTCTGAAAGTCTGAACAGGGTATGGCTAGATGGTTATTAAGTATTTTCAAGTCATTGTTCCTTTCTGTTCTTTTGTAAAACTTTGCAAAGCAACGCAATTTACTTCTTAGGTTCTGAGATAGGAGGAGGAAGGGCAAAATCCATGAACTTAATTTCACTTACTTTGAAGTTGCTGAGTAGATCTCAGTTAGAAACACATGCCTGAGATTTGCATCATTGCTGCAGTCAGAGCAGCCACATAGGCTGTTTAAGTCTTTCTATAAAAAACTGATGTACTACACAAAAATTTTTAAAAGCTACTTTGAAAAGGTAGCCTGGTTTTAAATCAGAATTTAAGCCAACAATATTGATTTTTCCCTTTAAACTCAGAATGCTGCCAGTGTTGTGGTGCAGTCGGTTAAGCCGCTGCTTATGATGCTGGCACCATCCCCTATCAGAGTGCCAGTTCAGGTGCCAATTCAGCTTCCTAGTCACACACCTGGAGGCAGTGGAAGGCAGTCCAGATGCTTGGGCACTTGTCACCCGTGTGGGAGACCCAGATGGAGTTCATGGCTCCTGGCCTCAGCCTGGCCCTGACCTGGCTATTGTGGTCATTTGGAGAGTGAACCAGTGGACTGAAGATCTCTTTGTGTTTCTTTCTGTCTCTCCCCATCCCATACTCTGCCTTTCAAATAAATAAAATCTTGTAAAAAATAAAATCAGATAATCAGAATGTTTTGTTTCATATTTGGGTATTTAACAGTAACTCTGACAAATATTTAAGTGTGTTCTCTCTATGGAGCAAGCACTGTGCTCAGTGTTTTCCTGTCCTGTTGCTCCTCCACCTTGAGAGGAAAGCATGATCCTCGCTCTAAGGACAAAGGCAACCAGTCGATTAGTTTCCTGCAGCCATCACGACACAGTACCCCAAGCTGGTGACTCACAACAACAGAAAAAATATATTTCACAGTCCTGTAGGCCCGAAGTCTAAACACAAGGTATAGGCAAGGCCATGCTTCCTCTGCTGCCTCTGGGGTGAATCCACTCTGTGCCTTTTCTCAGGTTCTGACGCTGCCTTCAATCCCTCACATTTCTTGGCTTGTAACTGTTTGACCCCAGTCTCTGCCTCTGTTGCCACATGCTTTCTTCCCTGTGTGTTTCTTTCCTTCTTATAGGGACACCTGTCATTTGCAATTATGGACTCACCCTGCTCCAGCCTCACCGCACCTTAACTAATTATACCTACAAGAACTCTTTCCAAATAGGACCATGTTCTGAGGTTCTGGGAAGGGTGTGAATTTGGGAGGCACTACTTAACCTGCTGCACTGAGACTTAGGTAAACTTCTGCACACTACATTGTCCAGTGTTGTGGGGCCAGGGTTCACTTGGAGAGGCCATCAGAGCTTGTGCTTCGTTCTGCCCTTGTCTGGCTCTTTCTCACCTCTCCTTCCCTCCTTTGTCTGCATAATCTGCCTTCCAGTCCCAGATCACTACTGAACCTCATCTCCTAAAGGTGTTCACTTTCTGGATCATCCCAGTTCCTCCTGCACTAGTAATGACCACTCTGCTTCTTTAATCCTTGGGCAGCCCTGAGTCTCACAACCCAGGCTGCGTGCTCCCTCTGCACTCTGCTCCTCTTACTAGCCCTATGCCCTAATGCAGGTGTTCCTCAGATTTCTCTTCTTCCCTTCATATCTTTCATTCCAAAATCTCCTCCAATTTCTTAGCTTCAGCTGTAATTTCTATGCCAGTGACTACTCAATCTTCATCAGTCTACTTCATCATTCTGTCATGTCCCCAGCACTCCAGCTTTGTATCCCCACACTCATTTTATTTATTCATTTTTAAAAATTATTTATTTATTTTTATTTGAAAGGTGAAGAGATAGAGACAAACAGAGATCTTCTGTCTGCTGGTCCACTCCCTAAATGCCCACAACAGCCAAAGGTGGGCCAGGCTGAAGGTAGAAGACCAGAACTCCATCAGGGTCTCCCATATGGGTAATGAGAACCGAGGTATTCAGCTATCACCTGCTGCCTCCCAGGGTATGCATTAGCAGGAAGCTGGTCTCAGAAGCAGGAGCAGCATAGGAACCCAGGCACTCTAATATGGAACACAGACATCCCAAGCTGTGTCTTAACTGCTGCACCACATTCCCCTGCCCGTACTCCTTGTGGACGGGAAGTCCTGGTGTCATCTCCATGTTGGCATGCTCAGGACCAGACACTTGGCTTCCCTGAAAAGGTCCCCTTCTTCCCCACATCTGTACTGACATTGTCTTGGATCAGGTCCCTGCTATGTCACAGAAGGATCACTCCCATGGTGCCCTAGTTAGTTTGCCCGGCTCCAGTCCCCACCCCTCCATTACATCTTGCATAACCTTGCCCAACACCGATTCCCAGTGTTCTGCTGCTCCACATCTAAACTCCTCTGACATTTTTCTGTCCACCATGCTCACCTGGTGTCATTCCCGCTGGCTGCCTACATACACTTGGATTCCAGGATGGCTAGCTGCTTCTGTGTAAAACTGAGCACATTTGCATCTCTGTGTCTTTTTGGTTGATATTTTCAACACAGCCTTTCACTGTCGCCAGTCCTGCGTCTTCCTTCAGGCCCCAGATCACATCAGTCTTCCCCTGGGATGTTCTTTCTCATTTCCCCGTCCATTCTATCAGTGATGTGCAAGGAGGGAAAAACAAAAGAGTTGTGGGAAATGCAGGATGAACTCTGCCTGTGTCCTCTACTCGTGGCGTCTGTGTTTATTGTGGTCCCATTTCTCGCTCCTTTGTGTCAGCATCCGCATCCCTCCAAGCTGTCCTGTTGTTTACTGTGACTTTATATTTCTTCTTCACTATTTAAAAGGAAAATGAGGGCAAAGTTCACATCTCATCTTCTTTTTCTCTTATGATACCCATGGCCTAACATAATACAAACTAAATAGTTTTTGCCTGGTTCACTTAGTTAAGTTTTGCAACAGTGTGAAAATGGTGTTTCTTGGAGAAATGCAGAGAAATCAAGTTTCCAAAAGCTAATATTCCTAGATGCTGCCCTCCTAAACAACAATACCCCAAGTAGACAGTCTTTCCATATTAATTGTGAAGATAATTTTCTTCAATCATGGGAGAAAAAATTAGTTATCAAGATATTTTAGAGTTGTGTTAATTGACTGCTATTAGTTTTCTAAACATTCTTAAGATGTATAATCAAAATATTATGTTGGTAATACTGGGTTTTTATTTGGCAATGTGAATATATTTCTTTTTTTTTTTTTTTGCCTTCATCACTGAAAACACAAGGAAACTTCTGCAAGTTCAGGGAAACTTCACTTATCTTTTATTTCCAGTTTCCCATGAACTTTTGGAAACCCCTTGGTTATGATGAACCCAATATGAACTTCTAAAAACAGAACTCACTAATATTCAAAAGCCAAAAATATTCAAGTGCTTTATTTTTATGGTATTAAAATTACTGACACATTTGAAATGATAAACAACATTTGATTGCCTTTCCAAGGACAACAGGAAGGGATTAGGATTTAAAAACAACGAATCTTAAGGAATCACCAAATATCAAACTATAAGTACTGGAGGAGGGGATTCCAAGATGGCTGAATAAGGACAGAATGGTCTGATTTACATGGGGTGAAATTAATATTTAATATTTTAAAAAGGGGAGGGGCTGGCACTGTGGTGTAGCAGGTAAGGCCACTACCTGCAGTGCCGGAATCCAATATGGGCGCTGGTTCAAGTCCCAGCTGTTCCACTTCCAATCCAGCTCTCTGCTATGGCCTGGGAAAGCAGTAGAAGATGGCCCCTGCTTGGGCCCCTGTACCCATGTGGGAGACCCAGAAGAAACCTCTGGCTCCTGGCTTCAGATTGGCCCAGCTCTGGGCAATGCAGCCATCTGGGGAGTGAACCAGCAGATGGAAGACCTCTCTCTCTCTCTCTGCCTCTGCCTCTCTGTGACTCTGCCTTTTAAATAGATAAATAAGTCTTTAAAAATAAAGAAAATTAAAATGGGGAGAAAGTACACTCTTAGGATAAAGCTGCAGGGGAACTTCAGCAGGAAACTCTGCAAAAGCAGTAGAAACTGTCCAGACATGCACCTAAAGAACAAATATACAAGAAAAGACAACAAAAGCTTGGATCCAGGGAGGAAGATGCCCGCCCCAGCAAACCAGGTGAGAGGGGAATCTACAGGACCATGGCACTGCTGATACAGTGGGAGGGAGAGCTTGGTGAACTGCTTTTAGAGTTACATGTGGACCCCCTAAGACAGCAGGTGACCAAGCACCCAGAGGCAGAAAAAAAAAAGGCAGCCAGTCCCCCTCCCAACTCCTGCTATAGCAGAGACCTGCAGTCAGCAGGGGCGGCTCACACCATTTTTGGACATAGGCAGGTAGCTGCCACCCCACCTCCTGTGCTTGTGCCCAGCAATAACAGGGGGTCACCCTCCACCCAGTCAGCTAGGGCTACAACAATACAGAATTCTTTCCTCCTCCACACCAGCTGCACCATACCAGTTGCCTGGCAACGGGAGGCTGGGGGAGCTGCCCCTGTGGAGGGGAAGTGCCACCTGAGGGACTCTCCTACACGCCCAGCACTATGGAGAAGTGATCGGAGCTGCAGTAGGCAGGTACTTTGCACATCTGCGAACCAAGGCCTGAACCAGTGAGAAAAACCCACCTTCCCCACCCACACTGAATCTGGTCAGGAGGACCACACACAGACAGCGGCTCTGGGAACACCTCAGTTTCCTTATAGAAGGACTCGCTGGTGGGGCAGAGTGGCCCCACTGACAATCCACTACCCGGAGAGCCCTGGGAGCTGAGTCTGAGAAAACAGTGACTGCACAGGAGACAGAGTGTGGCTAGGTCCTGGGCTTCTCTGCACTCTCTGAGCTCCTTGGTTGCCTACAGAAGTTCACAGCAGAGGGAACCTTGCTCACAGGAAAGACTGCAGATCAAATGTGCTGTTCATAAAGCAGTGTGGATGAGTCCTGAGCTCACTGGGGACTAACACCAGGGTGCTCCTCACCTGTGAGGAGAAAGGCTGGCCACACCAACGGAGGTGACCATTCCTCTCCATCCAGTTAAACAGAGGAGAGCTACCTCACCCAACTTGGGTGCTACCCTGGATACTTGCCCCACCCTAGAATACTGAACACAGTACCCTGGCCACACCCAGCACACATGTCTTGGTATTCACTTAAAGTATAGATGTCCCACTAAGTCACAGAGACACAGACTAAAGACAAAAGCCATCAGACAAGAAAATGTTCTACAAATGCCAAAAAAAAAGGGCAAAAATTCAAGAAATAAGAATAAGGAAGGCACTGTGAGCCCCCCAAAGGATCTCTACAACTTTTCATATTAGAAGGTGAAGATGAAGAGATTGAGGAAATGCCAGAAACAGAATTCAAAAAACGAATCATCGGATTACTCAGAAGCAAACAGAAGCAAATTCACGAACTAAAAAGAAGTATGTATGCTATGAATGAAAATTATTACCATGAAATTGAGATCTTAGAAATCAAAATGAAACACTAGAAATGAGGAATTCAATAAATCAAATAAAAAATGTAGTGGAAAGTCTTAACAGAGTTGGTGAGGCAGAAGAAAGAATATCCTAGCTAGAAGACAAATCTCTGGAAACTCTGTCAGACCAAAAACAAGAAGAAATTAGAAAACCAAAAGACACTATTGGAGATCTACAGGATACTAGCAAATAATCCAACATATGGGTCTTAGGAGTCCCTAAAGGTGTGTATAGAGAGAAAGGATTAGAAGGCCTTTTCAATGAAATAGTAATAGAAAACATCCATAATTTAGAGAAAGAAAGGGAAATCCAAGTACAGGAAGCACATAGAACTCCTAATAGTCATGACCAGAAAATATCTCCACCACGACACATTGTAGTCAGGCTCTTCACAGTAAAACATAAAGAAAATATTCTAAAATGAGCACAAGAGAAATGCCAGATTGCTTTCAGAGGAATTCCAGTTAATTTCAGTGGACTTCTCATCAGAAACCCTCATGCTAGGAGAGAATGGCAAGATATATTCCAAGTCTTAAGATAAAAAAAAAACCGTCAACCCAGAATAATATATCCTGCAAAGCTCTCATTTTTGAATGAAGGTAAAATAAAGACCTTTCCTAAAAAACAGAAATTAAAAGAATTTGTCACCACCCATCCATACAAAGATGCTTAAGGCTGTGCTACGCACAGAAACACAGAAAAGGGTCATCACTACAAAAGAAGATGAAGGCAGAAAATCCCTGTAAAATTACAAAGGAAATTCAAAGTAAAAAAATAGGAATATTTATGGGAAAATGGCAGGGCCAAGTCATTATTTATTAATAGTCACCTTGAATGTAAATGGCCTCAACTCTCCAGTTAAAAGACACGGACTGGCTGAATGGATTAAAACAGAAAACCCATCTATTTGCAGCCTACAAGGAACACATCTCACCAACTAAAATACTCACAGACTGAAAGTGAAAGGATAGAAAAAGATACTCCATGCTAACCGAAACCAAATTAAGCTGCTGTAGCCATCATAATATCAGACAAAATAAACTTTAACACACAAAAACTGTTAAAAGAGACAAAGAAGGGCACTATGTAATGATTAAGGGATCAGTTCAACAGGAAGATGTGCCTATTATAAATGTATACACACACAATTAAAGGGCATCTGGCTGTTTAAAAAATGTTAATGGATCTAAAGGGAGACATAGACTCAAGTACAACAGTAATGAGGGAGGCAGTGCTGTGTAGTGGATGAGGACACCACCTGCAGTGCTGGCATTCCATTTGGGCACTGGTTCAAGTCCTGGCTGCTCCACTTCTGATCCATCTCTCTGCTACATCCTGAAAAAACTGTAGAACATGACTCAAGTCCTTGGGCCCCTGCACCAAGCTCCTGGCTCCTGGATACAGGACAGCACAACTCTGGCCATTGTGGCCATCTGGGGAGTGAACCAGTGGATTGAAGACCTCTCTCTCTCTGTCTCTGCTTTTCTGTAACTCTGCCTTTCAAATAAATCAACAAAATATTTAAAAAACAAGAAAAAATAGTAATGGAGGACTTCAATACCTCACTTTCAGCAATGGACAGATCAACCAGACAGAAAATCAGCAAAGAAAAAACAGAGTTAATCGACACTATAGACCAAATGGACTTAACAGATACCTTACAGAGCTTTCTAACCTATAGCCACAGAATACACATTCTCCTCACCAGTGCATGGAATTTTCTCTAGGATTGACCACATGCTAGGCCATAAAGCAATTCTCAGCAAATTAAAAAAAAAATGGAATCATACCATGCATCTTCTTTGACTATAATGGAATCAATTTGGCAACCAACAACTCAGGAATCTCCACAACATATGCAAACACTTGGAGACTGAATGACATGCTCCTGAACAAACACTGGGTCACTGAAGAAATCAAAAGAGAAATAAAAAAAATTTCTGGAAACAAATGAAGATGACAATATAACATATCAAAACGTTTGGGATACAGCAAAAGCAGTGTTAAAAGGAAAGTTTATAGCAATGGGTGCCCACATCAAGAAACTGGAAAGGCACCAAATAAATGAGCTATCAAAGCATCTCAAGGACCTAGGGAAACAACAGCAAACCCAATGCAAAACTAGTAGAAGAAAAGAAATAATTCAAATTAGAGAAGAAATCCACAAAATTAAATAAAAAATACAAAAGATCAGCAAAATGAAGAGCTGGTGTTTTTTTTTTAAATATAAAAAGAATTGACACACCATTGGCTCAAATTAAAAAAAAAGGGAGAGGACCCAAATTAATAAAATTAGAGATGAAGAAGGAAATGTAACAAGAGACACCACAGTAATAGAATCCTCAGAAATTACTGCAAAGAGCTGCCTGCTAACAAATTGAGAAATACAGAAGAAATGGATAGATTCCTGGCTACATATGACCTACTAAAATGAGCCAGGAAGACACAGAAGAGCTAAAAATCCCAATAACCAAGACAGAAATCAAATCAAAACAGTAATAAAGACCCTCCCAACAAATAAAAGCCCAGGACCAGATGGCTTCACTGCTGAATTCTACCAGACATTTAAAGAACTGTCTCCAATTCTTCTCAAGCTATTCAAAACAATTCAAGTGAAAGGAATCCTCTCACATTCTTTCTATGAAGCTAGCATAATACACCATTGGAACAGAACAGAAATGCCAGAAATCAATCTAAGCATCTACAACCAACTTATCTTTGACAAGGGAGCTAAAATTAATCCCTGGAGCCAGGACAGGGTCGTGAACAAATGGTGCTGGGAAAACTGGATCTCCACATGCAAAAGCATGAAGCAGGACCCTTACCTTACACCTTTCATTAAAACCACTCAAAATGGGGGCCAGCACGGTGGCACACTAAGTTAATCTGCATGTGATGCCAGCATCCCATATGAGCACCGGGTTCTAGTCCCGGTGGCTCCTCTTCCACTCCAGCTCTCTGCTGTGGCCTGGGAAGGCAGTGGAGGATGGCCCAAGTGCTTGGGCACCTGTACCCACATGAGAGACCAGGAGGAAGCTCTTGGCTCCTGGCTTTGGATTGGCGTAGCTCCAGCCGTCTCAGCCATTTGGGGAATGAACCAATGGAAGGAAGACTTTTCTCTCTGTCACTCTCTCTCACTGTCTGTAACTCTACCTATCAAATTAATAAATAAAAATCTTTTAAAAAAATCCACTCAAAATGCACTAAAGACCTAAATCTATGACTCGATACCATCAACTTATTAGAGAACATTGGGGAAAACTCTGCAAGACATTGGTATAGGCAAAGAGTTCTTGGAAAAGACCACAGCGGCACAGGCAATCAATGACAACATTGACAAATGGGATTACATCAAATTGAGAAGCCTCTGCACTTCAAAATAAACAATCAGCAAAGTGAAGAGGTAACCGACAGAATAGGAGAATATATTTGCAAACTATACAACTGATAAAGGACTAATAACCAGAATATATAAAGGGATCAACAAACGCAACAACAACAAAACCACCTAGTTAAGAAATGGGCAAAGGACTTAAACAGACATTTTTCAAAAGAGGAAATACAAATGGCCAACAGGCACATAAAAAATGCTTTCAGAGAAATGCAGATCAAAACCACAATGAGGTTTCACCTCACCCCATTGGAATGGCTTTCATACAGAAACCAACAAACAACAAATGCTGGTGAGGATGTGAGGAAAAATGTACCCTGATCCACTGTTGGTGGGAATGTAAACTAGTAAAGCCGCTATGGAAGACAGTATGGTATTACCTCAGAAATCTGAATACAGAGCTACCATATGACCCAGCCATATGAATCAGCATATGAGAGTGCTATCTGTACCCCCATGTTTATTGCAGCTCAGTTTACAATAGCAAAGACATGGAATCAACCCAAATGCCCATCAACTGAAGACTAAATAAATTATGGGATATGTACAAAAAGGAATACTACACAGCAGTGAAAAAAGCCAGTCATTGGCTGGCGCCGCTGCTCAAAAGGCTAATCCTCCACCTGTGGCACCAGCACCCTGGGTTCTAGTCCTGGTCGGGGTGCTGGATCCTGTCCCGGTCGCTCCTCTTCCTGTCCAGCTCTCTGCTGTGGCCAGGGAGTGCAGTGGAGGATGGCCCAAGTCCTTGGGCTCTATACCCGCATGGGAGACCAGGCCACAGTGCATCGGCCACAGCGGCCATTGGAGGGTGAACTAACGGAAAAAAAGGAAGACCTTTCTCTCTCTCTCTCTCTCTCTCTCACTGTCCACTCTGCCTGTCAAAAAAAAAAAATCCAATATTTGCAACAAAATCGATGAAAATGAAAACATCATACTTAGTGAAATAAGCCAGACCCAAAGGGACAGATACTATATGTTTTCCCTGACCTGTGATAACCAATAGAGCACCTAAAAGGCAACCTGTGGAAGTGAAATTGATACTTTGAGAAGCAATGACTCTGAATGGCCCTTGTCTTGACTGTTGAGGAACAATTTTTTTTGTTTATTTTTCTCTTATACTAATTGTTGAACTCTTAACATAGAGTTGATCTTACGTGTATAAAGTTAATTGAAAATAGATCTCAGTAAAAATAAGAGAATAATAGAGGGAGGAGGACTAGACTGTTGAGGAAGTTTTTTTTTTTTTGGTTTTCCTTTTTCTTTTTCTTTCTCATACAAAGTGTTGAACTCTACCTAGTAGAGTTAATCTTCTGTATAAAGTTAATTGAAAATAGGTCTTAGTAAAAAATAAGACTAGGAATAGGAGAGGGAGGATGAAGACGGGTGGGAGGTTGGGTATGGTGGGAAGAATTCCTATGTTCCTAAAGTTGTATTTATGAAATAAAAAATGCAAAAAAATCTTTAAAAAATTCCAAGTACTTTTTTGACAGTCTCCTCTCTCTAGCCCAGAAAATATATGTTTTAGCTTGACAGCGAAGTATTGTAGAGCAGAAATGATCGGGGTAGCTTGATGTTCAGCACTTTGGTGCATGAGAAAGAAACACTGCCACGTTTATGCAAAATGAACCCTTAGAATGAGCGATTTGGTCATGGAAAAAGCCAAACATACATGGCAGGGTTGTTGGTTGGTTGTAGGGAAAAAATCCTCTTGTAGCCATTTTATTTTTTTATTTGGGCCTTTTAAAAAGAACCTTAACCAAAAAATTAGCTGGGAATTGAGTGTTAAAATGAGTGAGGGGTTTCACAGACCCAAAGTTAGGAATGCAGCTGGAGTGCCAGGAGGAAGTTCAACCCAGCAACTGACAGCTGACAGACTCCAGGAAGTGCTCTCGGCCCATCTCTGCTTCTCCTTTCTGTATTGGCTGTTTTCTTCCTCTCTGAATTCTGCCCTACTCTGGCCTCCAGCATGGGGTCACGGTTGCAGGCCATGTGAAGAGATAAACTTTATCCTTGGAATTAATTTTGGAATTCCTGAGCGAGAGCACAACTGACCCAGTTCAGTCCCTGGCAGAGAACATGATCGACAAAGGCCTTGGAACAGATTGATCTGCTGAGAAATTGGCAGACAGGCGACCGCTGCTGTGGTTGCACTTGTGACAGGATATTTAAATGTGATGTTGAAATGTTCAGTATTGTGACCTGCCCTGAATTTCATCAGGGCCAAAGGAAGAACTAAGGGTACAAAACTTACCATAGACAACAAAAATAAATTTGCTCCATAATTACTTCCTTGAGTTGTACTTGTTCAATATTAAAGTGATGCTTTGGCTAAGGGATTGGAAACTGTGCAACATCCACGAGTTTAGCAGATATGCCAGAAATAGACAGGTATTGGAAGTGCAATTTGGATAGAGTTTTCAGTTAAATGCAATTCAAAAAGTTATAATATGTTGAAAAGAAAGCTAGCATTGCCATATTACAAGCAAACAAAATTGTTGAATCTCAAGGAATCTTGAAGATGAAAAATTATGTGAAAATACGAGGTTAAAAATTTATCAGCACTGTGTGGCATACTGGGTAAAGCTTCTGCCTACAGTGTTGGCATTCCATATGAGCGCCAGTTTCAGTCCTGGCTGTTCCACTTCTGATCCAGGTCTCTGCTATGGCCTGGAAAAGCAGGAAGATGGCCCAAGTCCTTGGGCCCCTGTACCCACGTGGGAGACCCAGATGAAGCTCCTAGCTCCTGGCTTCAGATCTGCCCAGCTCCAGACATTGCAGCCATCTGGGGACTGTACCAGTGGATGGAAGACCTCTTTCTCTCTGTCTCTGCTTCTTTGTAACTCTGCCTTTCAAATAAATAAATAAATCTTTTTTGACAGATAGAGTTAGATAGTGAGAGAGACAGAGAGACAGAGAGACGGAGAGAAAGGTCTTCCTTTTCCATTTGTTCACCCCTGAAATGGCCGCTATGGCTGGAGCTACGCCGATCCGAAGCCAGGAGCCAGGTGCTTCCTCCTGGTCTCCCATGTTGGTGCAGGGCCCAAGCACGTGGGCCATCCTCCACTGCCATCCTGGGCCACAGCAGAGAGCTGGACTGGAAGAGGAGCAACTGGGACTAGAACCCAACGCCCATATGGGATGCCGGCACTGCAGGCGGAGGATTAACCAAGTGAGCCATAGCGCCGGCCCCAAAATCTTTAAAAAATACATCATACAAATTTTATGAAATCATATATAGATTAGGAAGATCACCCCCAAAATACCATTTTTGATGATTTCTGAGTCTTATGGTCACAATTAATTTTTGTTTATGTTACATTATTTTTAGAGCTATAATCAATGGGAAAATTTGATCTTATAATTTAAAACTACTACTTTTATAAACAAAAGAATACTCCTGCAGTTTGTATATCACCATACTCATGGAAACATTCTTTACAGTTCTTTGTTTAGAAGGAAGACAGGCACTAGCACGCTTTTTCTGTCTCACCATGGGATGCTGTCTATCAGGTTCTGATGCAGGAGGAAGGCTCACTGGAGGCTGGTATTGTCTTTCTGGACTTCCCATCCTCTAGAACCATGAACTAAATAGCCCTCTACTCTTTATAAATAACTCATCCTGTGGTATTCAGTTATAACAACAGAAAACAGAACCAGGCAATAGACAATGCTATGCTATATTTTATAAATATATTCCTTCTCCCCACATCTGACCAACATTCATTTATTTGCTTAAACAACTTGTAACTTTAAACCTGATAGATGTGTGGACAAAAATATCCCCAGAATGCCAACAGAAATCACATAGAAACTGAACATTTCCTTTAATACTGTCTTCTGAAAAGAGAGATCTTGAAATAATTAAAGTTAAACAATGGCCATTTAATATTATCAATGTTTAATGCATTCAGTGGGAGATTCTAGGCCAAAGGGAAAAAAAATTATTGTCTGACATATACCTGAGGATGTTTCCTCCAAAAATCAAGCAAATATAAAGAAAAAAACCCATTTTCAATCATTTTCTTGGTACTTTCAGTAATTTCCAAAGTTCTTGAAGGAATCATTGGTTTAAATGACATATGTGGCTTCCATTAAATTAAGGCATGTCTTAGATCAGCCCTGTGTTAAGTGAAATTACCTTATGTGACTTCTTTTCGGTTGAAGTGTTTCTTAGTTATGTTTCAAGATATTCTCATCCAGCTTCATAGCTTTCATTCTAAACATTCATCAAGGAAGAACATTCCGGACATTCAACTGTGCATAGATTATAAGGGAAACATTGAAGCAGGACAAGCAGGGAGCTTTATGCAAGGTGGATGGAAACTCTGTGCCCATGCGTCTGTGTTTTTGCTTGATCCTCCAACAACGAAGGCTGGCAGAGAGCGTGTCCGGACTGAATAGGGTGCTTCCGCGCACTGGCACGAGTGTGTGCTGAGTGTGAGCTGTTCTATGACTGAGACTACCAGTGCTCAACGTGTAGGACCTGTGAAAGTCCCATTCCAGGAAAACGTCTTTAAGGTTGTGAATAATAAGAGGCTTCACTCTTGAACCACTAAATATCTCTTTATAATAATTGGCAGTGTTTAGTGCATATTCCAGATTATCTTGCTGAGTTCTGAGAATTCTCCCAGGAAGTTTCATTTCAAAATCAAATTTGGTTGCAAAATCCAGGGTTTCCTCAAATCAAAATTTGTGCAATCACAAGTATTTCCCGTTACTTCACGGAATGCAGCTCTGCAGTCAAGCTGCTGGCTGCACACAAGACAGCAGGGGTGTGGCTATTTTTCGCAAAGGCTCTTTTTAAAAATAGGGTACTTTTATGAACAACAATGGTAATTAAATCAAAATCTGTTAATGCACTACAAAGAATAGAAGCTCAACCAGCCATAAACTTATTCCATCTAACATTGGTGTCATCCTCTATGCCATCTAAACATAAAACAAGTTATTACAGGAGTTTCACAAAGATTTCAAAAGCATCATGCCTACCACTACATTGGGAATGGCAAGTTTTCTTCAGCTCATTGGCCTCCTTCTTCATTGTTCTGGAAGAGGTCAGAAGTTATCTTATGGAGTTCTAAAAGCCATTGTGATTGACAGGAGGAAGAATAAACATCTTTAATTGCTCCCAAAGCAATAGAAACTCCCACAACAAACAACTGATTTTGACAAATATGTGTTTAAGGCAAATAACAGCAGAATATGTAGACACTTGGGGTTACTACTTTTATAGTTGCCATGACTTTGATTTTGGAGGCAAGTCCGCTAGGCAATCTAAGCCAGACCACACCAGGCTTCTTCTTCATTCCCCATTTTTAGGTTATTACAGCATGAAATTTCACTGTCAAAATTTGTGCATCAGCTTCAGAAGGCAGAAATCCCACATTTCTCTTTCAGGGCTGGAGATTCATCAGTGAAGATCACCAGTGCTGGTGACTGCTCCACACCCCGCCCCCCGCCCCGTGCCGCTATGCTCACCCTGTTATCAGTGATGGGACAAAAAAAGTGAGTCCCTCCTTTCCTGATGTCCCCCAGTAGAACTCCTGCAGATCCCCAGCACCTGTCTGCACTGTTTACAAACAGCGATGTGTTGACAACTGTTGTCTCCAAGAACTTTCTCAAAACTTCCTCACCTGAATGCACCCTGCACTCCAGGAGTGCTTGAACATTATCAGGAGAAAAGAGATCTTTGGGGATTGTTTATTCAGATTTGTGTTGTATAAGAACAAAACTTAGAATATCACTTTGAGGCAATCCTTGCTTTCATGCTTTTTTGAAGTTCAAGGGTAAGATGTCTTCATCTTGTTCTCTGTTTTCTTCCTCTGCATTGGAGTTCTGAGCATAGCTGTGATTTATACATTGGTTCCTGTGCAGAAATCTCATTCTTTTTTTCCTGCTTGTGTTCTGATTTCATTATCACTTGATTGCATGTAGTTTATTTATTTTCAGTATTCACCATGTAGATTGTACAGATGACTGGAAAAATCAACTGTTGCTGGTGCAGAATCATCTTAAAAACTCTCCTGTGAGTACTAGTTCTTGGAATTACAGTTCTCAGTGTTTGACAATAATGTTTACTTAGCTGATCAGATATTAATTATGAGCCAGTTTTCCTCCATTTCTTCATCAAGCTTCTATTTAGATCTGGCAGAAACCTAAAGACGTCCAATTCTGGCCTCATTATCTTCCATGTGCAATTGGAGGATGTGTAAAAGTTTGATATGGTAATCCGCCAGCCAGCCAGCAAGACCTCCCTTTCCCCAAATCCAGAATACTCTGTCTGTTGGCAGTGGGGAAAGAAAGCAAACTAGGTATCCAACTTGACTACTGTTTTAATTTTCCTTCTTTGAAACTTTTTTGTCAGGTTTAGCATAAGACTCAGGCTGGCGTCAAAACACACAGAAAAGTATTTTCTCTTTTGCTAGGATATGTTTCTGAAAGTGTTGTGTACTATTATCTTTTCTTTCTTCTTTTTTTGCTTTCTGTTTTTTTTTTACTTTATTTTTTCATGTTTTTTTTTTAATGATTATTTATTTATTTATTGGAGAGGTAGAGTTACAGACAGTGAGAGGAAGAGACAAGAGAGAAAGGTCTTCCTTCCGTTGGTTCACTCCCCAAATGGCCGCAATGGCTGGAGCTGTGCCGATCCAAAGCCAGGAGCCAGGAGCTTCTTCCGGGTCTCCCACGTGGGTGCAGGAGCTCAGGGACTTGGGCCATCTTCTACTGCTTTCCCAGGCCATAGCAAAGAGCTGGATTGGAAGAGGAGCAGCCGGGACTAGAACCGGCACCCATATGGGATGCTGGAGCCACAGGTGGAGGATTAACCTACTGCGCCATGGTGCTGGCCCTTTTATTTTTTCATGTTAATATAAATTTAATACAAAGAGAACAGATTCAATGTAGTTCATAGACAAAGTGTTAAGAATATATGATACTCCCTCCATCCCTCCCTCTTTCTTTCCTCCTTCTTTAGTTTCTCTCTCTCTCTCTTTTTTTTTTTTTTTTTTGACAGGCAGAGTGGACAGTGAGAGAGACAGAGAGAAAGATCTTCCTTTGCCGTTGGTTCACCCTCCAATGGCCACCGCGGACGGCATACCACGCTGATCTGAAGGCAGGAGCCAGGTGCTTTTCCTGGTCTCCCATGGGGTGCAGGACCCAAGCACCTGGGCCATCCTCCACTGCACTCCCTGGCCACAGCAGAGAGCTGGCCTGGAAGAGGGGCAACTGGACAGAACCCGGCGCCCCGACCGGGACTAGAACCCGGTGTGCCAGCGCTGCAAGGCGGAGGATTAGCCTATTGAGCCACGGCACCGGCTCTTCTTTAGTTTCTAAGATATCATGTTTAATTTTACATTGTGGTGAAAGGCTTAATGTTCCACTAAATAAGGATTTCAATAATAAGAAGACCCTAGTTCAGTGGGAATATAAGCAAGGGCTATAAACAACAATCAAATGAAAAGATGACAATTTCACTCATATACAGAAAGACAAGTATTGCATGTTCTTCCTTATATGTGGTAGCTGAAATTTAAAAAGGAAAAAAATTAAAACAAAACAAAGAAAGAAATGCCTATGTGTGTCAGTATTGCTGCAAGTAGCTTTGTCGAACCTTGTTGTATATTTTTATATAACCGTTAGTTTTGAATAATGTACTACTATAATTTTAATGATTTGTGACTATTCTTTCTTGCTTAATTGTTTAACAGAGTTCACCAATGAATCTGATCCCAAAATTCTACTTGAAGGGAGATTTTGATAACAAATTCAATTTTAGAAATGGAAACAGGACTTGTCAAATTTTAATTTCATCTTGTGTCAGTTTTGGGAAATTGTCTCATTCAGAAACTGTGTCCTTTTCTAAATTGTTGAAATCATTAGTATAAAAGTTGTACAAATTATCTGTGGATTCTGTAATATATTCACATATTTATTCCTCGTGTTGACATTTTCTTCTATTTATTTCTAGATCAGTCTATCTAGGGTTTATCAACTTTGTTATCTATAAAAATATTTTATGTGTGTTAATTTTCTCTATCATTCGTTTTCTATTTCACTGATTTATCTTTTTTTAGAAAGCTTTTATATAATAAATATAAATTTCATAGGTACAACTTTTGGAATATAGCAGTTTTTCCCTCATACTTGCCCTCCCACCCACAAACTGTCTCACTCCCTACTCTCTCTCCCATCCCATTCTTTATTAAGATTTATTTTTAATTATCTTTATATACAGATCTCTTCTTATCTTTATTACTTTCTTTCTACTTTGGGCTTACTTTGCTCTTCTTTCTCTAGATTTACTGTGAAAGCTAAGGTTATTGATTGTATATCTTTCTCCTACTTTATAGTAAATTAACATTTAAGACCTGTAAATTCTCTCTAGGCATTACTTTAGTTTTTTACCCCACAAGTTTTGATGTGGTATATTTTCATTATCACTAATATTGAAGTATTTGCTTCAAATTTGTGATTTGCTTCATAAATTATTAAAAGCATCCTTTTTAGTTTCCAAATATGTGGATTTTATTCCCCCTATATATCTTGATGTTCTTGGTTTCTAATTCAAATCCATTGAGGTTACAAAGCAGTGTACATTATTTTAGACCTTTTAAATGTATTAAGCCTTGTTTTATGGCCCAGTGTGGTTATCTTGGTAAACATTATATATGCACTTAAAAAGAATGTTTATTCTGGCATTTGTGGGTGTAGTGCTCTATAAACTCCAGTTAGGTAAAGATCAGAAGATGAGTATTATTCAGATCTTTTATCTGTTGGTTCTATCAGTGGCTGAGAGTTGTGTTAAAATCCCAGCTATCATTATGGGTTTGCCTATTTCTCCCTTTAGCTACTTCTGCATCTCATGTAGTTTGAACCTGTTTTATTGGGCACAAGTACAAGTATGATTCTTGTGTCTTTTTGCGAAGTTTTGTTTATTGTTACACAATGTCTATCTCTGATAATGTTCTTACTCTTGGCATCCATCATATGCGATGTGTATGTAGTCACTCTTGTCTTCTGAGGCTGTTTGCCTAACATGTCTTTTACTGCCATTTACTGTCAACATGTACATATTTTTATATCTGAAGTTCATCTCTGTGGAGAGACTATATTTGGTATTGTTCTTTGATTTGCATTAACTTTTTTCATTGAGAAATCAATATTTATTAATTTTTTCAGTACCTCCGTGTAGTAATTACCTGGTGTTTTTGGTTAAGTGGATCTTCCCCTGCTGTACCACAGTAACATATTTTATTCATGTATTTATTCACCACATATGTATTGATAATCTACTATGTTTTAGGTATCAGATGCATAAAAGCGAGTAGGATACAGTCTGTCTTCACTTAGCTCAGAGTTTAGTGCTACACTCTGCATCACAGTAAGTACTAGCCATGTGTGACTATTTAAAATCTAATTTAACTAAAATAAAAATGAAATTAAGAATTCCCATAGACACGTAACCATATTTCAAGGGCTCAATAAATAGCCATATGTAGCTATTCATTACTGCTATGAACAGCACATATGTGGAACATTTCTATCATCCAGAAAGTTCTCACAGACCAAGTTAGTGTAGGAGAAGAAATAGGAACATTTATTACTAAATATATTATGAATATAATTATTTTGAATATAATAAATAGTATAAATATAATAAAATAGAGAAATATTCAAATGTGTTACTAAACCAGATTATAATAAATAAAATTATAAAATATTTTACAATAATGAATAAAACAGTTTGTTACAAAATATGGTACATAAACAAAAGTAATATTACCTAACTGATATTAAAAGATCCAAAGGGGAGGTGATATTTAAGCTAAATTTTTCATGATTAGAAAGAGTTGGTCAGAAATCCTAGGGTGTACATGAACAACATAGGAAGACTTAGAACTGTTTAGGAAACTGCAATCAATCTCCTGATTCTAGTACACCTATTTTAGGCATCTGGATGAATGACAGTATCATTCACTGATTTGAGACCACAAATGCAACACATTTAACAGGAAAGTAATGAGTTTGGTTAGGTTCATACTCAATCTGCAATGCCCTACAGACACTTGAGGAAGCTAGATGTATTGTTCTTGAGCTGAAAGAAGGGATATTTGGGCTGGTAATACAGATTTGATGGAATAATATACTTCAGGTCATTGTTCAGTGTTAGCCTGTTTAAGATGCCCTAGAGAAAGCAGAATGAGAAACAAAGGAACTAGTATTTCTTGATTATTTTACACAAGGTTACTTCAGTGAGTTCACAGAAAATGGGATTTAAAGGTGAGTTTACTTTGGTGCCCAAAATTTTTGAAATCTGTCCATAGTCTTTTCATTATATGCATTTTCATGAACTGTTTAAACATGTCTCATATGCATGCCTTTCAAATACTTTTGGCACCAACATTAACTTTTCTTTTAGTTCTGTTTTCCATGAAGTACCCTTGTAAATGTGAGACATTCTTTTAGGCAGTTTACATATACTTGGCAAGAAGTACAGTTAAAATTGTACTTTGCTATCAAAGAGAATGGGATTTCAGTCCTTGTTCAACCACTTTACTGACTACATGACCTTGAAAAAGCTATTTAATTCTCTAAAAAATAAGTTTTCTCGTCTTTCATATGGGATAATAATGAGATCCATCTCATAGGGTTCTATGAGAATGAAATAAAAAAATTGGAGCCCTAAGCATATGGTTACGTTCTAAATAAATATAACCTTACTCTCCTCCTCTTCTTTTTCTTCTCCTTTTTCTTGTTAGTGCCACCTTATTTAGTCTTTGTAATAACCTTAGGAAGTAGCTTTATTGTCTTCCTATAACCGAAAGCATGATCTTGTCTAAGACTACAAGCTGACAAATAGGAAGTATCACTATGTTCCTAAATCTGTGTACATGAAATACATGAAATTTGTATACCTTAAATAAAATTTAAAAATAGATAATCCAGAGTCAGAATCCAGGTGTTCTGATCATCTTTCCAGGGCTGTTTTCATAAAACTGCTCTTCAGTAGTTGCCTACAGGAATTTG